TGCTAAATGACCTACGTTGTTGACATTTTGCAGCAACTGAATTTAGAATTCTGCTGTTCTAAAGGTAGCAGCAGCAGATACTCAGAAATGTATAGCATGAGTGTATTCACTAATGTCTTTTCATTCTGAATCCCCTGAATTGATCTCCCAGTTTCAAAAACTATTCCTGGACCCCAAATACCAGGTGAACCATACAATGTAGATCAATAAATTTTTCGAGTGCAATAATTGTTTCTCTCTGGGAGATTCCCATTAGTCCCAGAAGGAAGAACACTTTGATTGACCTCGAGGAACACAGCAGATGTGGATAAGCTGTGTGTGCTGCTGACCTTATCAGAAGAAAGCCAGGCCTTGAAAATCACAGGGGAACACCCTGGGCATGTGCATGTTGGCTGTGGGAAACCAAACAGCTGGTCAAGTGTGTACTCTCTTTAAAAACCAACCAAGCCAAAAAAGGCAGACTATGAGAGGGGAAAAGAGAAAAAGAAATATGTGCATTAATAATATCTCTTTATGTTTAAACACATTCCCAGGAAATAATAATATGGATGGAAATAAGAGGAGGTATGCTTTAAGCATCTGGGATTCCTTAAGGCCTTAGTTATTAAAAAGATTTTCTACGTAAAATCCTGGTGGCCTAGTTGCTTAAGCTCCTTAGGACAGAGAAGTTTACTCTGTTACTTTGAATGCCACATTTTCTGCTCTCTTTAGGGGCTCTACAGCCAAATAAGATGGCAGGAAGAGGCAGGGAGAATCAGCAAAACTTGATTTCTCATAGATAGTTCTAACCCAAAGGAACAGGTTAAAATTAAGAGAGAGGGGAAGGGAGGGAGGGACAGTGGGAAGAAGAAACGAAGGAAGGAAGGAAGGAAAGAACGAAGGAAGGAAGGACAGAAGCAGAATCTAGGAGACATTTAGGAAAGTTTTGACTTTGGAATGAGAGGAGTTTTTAGCTCCAGTAAAATCACTACCCAAAACCAATGAGGCCATATAAGGCACAGGCAATCCCTTGTCCCCTGACATGAACTGGAACAAGAAATCGAGCACATTGCTAGTACAGATGCTGCACCCTGACATCTCTGAGAAAGCAGCATGTGATCCTGAGCAAAGCACAATGATGAGAATTCATGAAACAAGTTTTTACAATCTCAGGTTAAAATTATTACAACTGTGCAGCAAAACCCATGCACCACTCAACAAGTAGAACAGATGCAGAGACATGAAAATAAGCCCTGCTCCATGTGCCAGGAGAGGACTTAAAAGGAACCCAGAGATGCCTTTTAAGGATCTATAGAAGATGTGGCCCAAGGGGAAATTTAAAATTTCAACATCCCTCTTATAAACTCTCAGAAATAGAC